TGGCCATAATTAGGGTCATGCAAAAAGAAAAGAGGACAGTACAGAGCGATAATTATTGCCTTGGTCTCAAACCTCACAAACCTATTTTCGGCACTATTAGGCATTTGTCTCATCGTCTGATTGCCTTTAATTTGCATTTTAATTTATGGCCGCCTATAACTTTTATCGGAGTCGTTGTCTTATGCCGCTTTCTTCTCTCAACTCTCACCCCAATAAAGGGTCGAAAGGTCAAACAGCTGTGTGTATGTCCCTCTGCTCGGACGTCATTCGGCTGAACATTGTCAAAGGCCAATTAGCAAGGAGGTCAAATGTAGGATAAGCAACTAGGATTAAGTAGAACATCTGGTAAATGAACTGGGAAGTATCAACACATGGCATTGGGAGAGGATTAAGGGAAGAGTTTGAATTTTTGTTATGATAAGTAACTTTTCTTTTAGTAATATTATGATATAGTTATCCTTGCCCTATTATATCTTCACTTTTGATAGGTAAACACTCTGGTATTCTTTTCTTAAACCACCAAATAGATCTGGGCTCCGGTTTGGGCTTTAGACTTTGTTAGCAGATTCTTAAGGATCTTAGAAATCTCGAATATTGTCTGTATATTCACATTAAATACTCCAAATTCAGGCTGTTGGAAAATATAGAAAATATATCGACTTACCTTCCATTTAATTTCCTTTAAGTAATATTTAAAATTAATTTTTAACGTTGACAAAGTCACAAAAATATCCAACTCCTTTAAGGAACTACTATATAGTGAAATAATGTCATAATGCCTGAGGCCATCGACTTTCTTAGGCAACTAACCAAGGAAAGACTTGAGGTGACAAAATTCAGAAAAGAAAAGAATGATAATAATAACAATAATATCTATGTCAACAGGTTAAGAAAAATTTCCTTTAGTTCAGTTTCTAATGCAACATGTAAGATTACAATTTTCACAGCTCAAACCCAAACAGATACAACAATTTCCTCTCAAATACCCTTACTAAAAACCCGCTCCCTCAGTCGCTTCTAATGAACACATGTCAATTAAGGCCACAGTCTCGTGTCTTATGTCCATGGAATGAAATATGTTCGCTAGGTCCAGTCTACGGATCAGTCTCAGACTCCTTCTCCAATTTGAACATCAACTTTGAAACACAAGGACACTGAACAAAGTTTTTAGATAAACCAAAACATTCCTTAAGTAAAAATGTAGCATTGAAATAACTTAATGACTTACAAAATACTAAGGTAATAGTAATATCTTCTTTTCCTTTCATAATAACTAAAATTTGTATGATAATCAATTCTAAATATTTTTATTTTTAAGGACTTTTTCCCACTGTAAACAAGTGTCTTGCGTGCTGTTTTTGCTGCCTGTGTTACGTTTCTCTCAGCTACGCACATTTTCGCTTGGTGGTAAAGAGGGGTTAGACAGTTTGGACATGTTTGCCTCAAACCCCTCAAAAAAAAAGAAGAAAAAAAACTAAAAGCCGAAAGGCTAGTGTCTCGCCTTACAGTCGCCCCCAAACTGAGCCTGATTTATGTCGTCGAGTGTCGCGGGTGTTGTGAGCTTAGCACACCCTCTACCCTCTTTACACAGCAAACAATTAAGATCTTTTTGGTGATGATCTTTAAAAGTGTTTTTAAGTTCCATGAAGGTCAACTTTGACTTTGTAAATATTTATACTGTGTTATTTATAATTAATTGCTAGAAATAATATTTAAGAAAAGTAATACAGATCTTAATAAGGTAATTCGGACTTTTATTAATATTAATAATAATTTAATAGTTCGCTTTATGAAGCATTTTTATACAGTGTTTTATAATCTTAATCCGAAGCTTGCAAAGCAGTTAAGAAATCATTTCCTACCCTATAAATCAAATATATTCTTGATCAGCATCAAAAGCCGATTCGATCTAGGCATCTCCGGGAGAAAACAATTTTTTTTAATTTTTTCCCAATTTTATAAGGGGTTACATCGTCAAAATTCTCAAAAATGGGCTAAATTTGTAATATTTTTTAATTTTAAAGTGAGTACGCAGATTTATTAACCTAATATAAACTAACATAGGAAAAGTTTCCAAATTAAAATTGATGATTTTATGGCTAAGATATGAAATTTGTAAACTTTGATTTGTCGTAAGAATATTCATGTAAAATTATTGATGACCAATTAAAAGAGCGAATATTTTAAGAGTAGTAATGATTTATTTTCGATTCAATCTTATAATTAAATTTTAAAGTGGAAGGAAGGGATTGTAAATATATTATATTTTTATCTTGTTAATTTTTAATTTTCTATATCATTTAGTTTTCGTAATAAATTTATTTCAGTGTAGTCATTTGAGACTGCAGCTAGTGCAGTTTGAGTTTTTGTGTTTTGTTTTTGTTTTTCTTCTCCATCTCAATGGTCAGTTGGCTGTCTTCTGTCGATTGGCACTGAAGCGTTGCAGGCGATTTCCGCTTTAATGTAATTTTGACAACGCACACACACACACAGTGGGGCTGAAAAGTGTGTGTTGGTAGGGGGTAAAGGGGGTTTCAGTATCGTCATCAAGGAAATGTCATGATAAATCTTACTCGGCTTTCGCGTGGTCAAAAACCGTTACAGTAGCAACTGCGAATTCGATTTCGATTTGCGTTTTTTGATTTTATATCATATAATAGTTTGGAAAATACACTATAAAAGAAATTCATACTATATATACTATACTACTATATACTAACGTATAAAAAATATATAAAAAGGTATAACAAGTTACATAAAATAATATATAATTTATTAAAACTAAGATTTAATGGATTTCAAAGAAAATATTTTTCTAGACAAAACAACTAATCAATTAAAAAGGAAATTTAATCGAAAATGAACCTGATTTTATATAACCAATATAGATGACAAACTTTGAATTTTTTATATTTTAAGAATCACTGGTTTTTACAATGGGTAAATTAATAAAACCACATCAATCTTTGAATTTTAAAATCCATTTAATAAAATTCAAAATCCCATTAACCTAGAGTATCCACAAAGTCAATTATATTTATCATATTTTTAATTTGCATTTTCTTGCTTTCCATCTCGCTTATCGTTCGATTTGTTTTGCATGTTATGACTTATCTGATTAGCTGGATATTCGATTACCCGATAACTCGATTGCTGCAGCTAAATGCTGTTGTCGCATCCACTTTTCCCCCACTCTCTCTTTCTATCTGTTTTCATTCCCCTTTGCTGTCAATATGCCACTTTGCGACGCCTTCAAGTCTGTTTTCTTATCAACCCGATTTTTTATTTTTTAAAGAGCCATTAAAGATCTTGGGGCTGTGACCCATGGAATCGTAAACCAGATTGACTCATCGATCCATTTAAAAATCCGAGTTTTCCTTCCTAAATGTAAATCTAGAATGAATAGGAAAATCACCATGAAATTTGGTCTTTAAAAGAAACATTAAATTTACTCCCGCACCTGGGAATAAAGTTGAGATAAGGAAAAAAGATTGATGGATTGTTTAATTGAGTCGAGTAGCTGATTGATTTACGCCCTAAAACTAGACAATCGATTCTATTCAAGGGGCGTGTCAAGGGAGGCCTAAGATAACGAGAAATACATAAAAATCACTGTATATATAGAAACACTTTACGCTTAATTTATATACCGACAGTAATAAAATAGAAAAGAGCTGAGTTGGCGGAATTCTGGCTCAGTTCTTTATCGCCGGAAAAAGAGAGAAAAACTGAAAATGCAAAATAAAGCAAGTAAGAAATGCTTAAGTTGAGTTTATAAACTAAAATGGTACCCTAAAACTAATAAAAATTATAAATGATAGTTATAAAATGAAAATGAAATAATGATAATGAAAAGATGCTAATGATATTCTAAGCCGAAAGAAATATTGAATTGTTAAGGAAAATAATCTTTAATAAATTAACTCTTAAGTTTTATTTATAAATATGCATTTATATTTTAAATATAAAGTTTTATTTATCAATATGCTTTATATGCTTTAAATATTATTATTCTTAAAAATCTTCAATTTATTAACCTCTCTCCATATACCCCATATTTTATCACTTACCTATTATAATTAAAATTATCCAATTGCAAGAAATATAAGTAAATTCAGAATACAAAAAAAAAAATAATGTCATAAAACGTGCAAAGTAATAAAAACAAAGGGAAGCAAAAATTGAATGATGGAGAGCAGAAAATATAAAGAAGAGCGAGGGGAATGCTCCAGATAATATTTATTTAATGCTCAGTTCTATATAGCTTGATTCTGACTTCTGTGTTGTGGGTTCTGTTCCGATTCTTTGTTGCTGGTCAGTTGGAAAATCGGAGGCAATGCGACGCGACGCGACTTTCAAAACGAAACCAAAAACAATTCTGAACGAGCTTTTAGTTACGAAATAACATAAAAGCAAGATAGTCAAACTGCAATGATTAAAAAAAAAAATAATATTAATAAGTTAGAGAAGAAGTGAAAGCTAAAAAAATAGTTTAAAATGTATATTCGTTGCTAAAAACGCTTCAAAATAATTTAAGATAAAGTGAAATCAAAATTTTAAGATAAATACATTTGTATACATGCAATTGTTTAATGTGATAAGAAAATATCATCAAATATGAAAATAGTTGTGGGCTAATTGTATTAAAAACATAACTAAAGTCTTATCAATAGCTTGTGAGAAATATAAATATATATTTAAAATTTAGTTTAATAGAGGAATGTCATATAATATTGAATAATTTTATAATATATAATATGATAATATAATTATAATAATAATAATAATATAATATATTATAAAATAATATATAATAAAATGATATATATTCATAAAATATATTAAAAATCAAATTAATTTCCAATTCAAAACCCTATAAACCCTTCTTTATCATAATAAAACTTAGTAAACATTTTAGTCAATTTAAATAAGTGTAAGTAATTATCAGCTACATAAATATATTATTAAATATTATATTTTCTTTACTACAACTTTTTCAGAATCAAATAATATGACCTCCTACAGGACGTTGGTCGATCATGGCCAACCGATAATTGTGGGTGGCAGTGAAATATCCCTTGCCTCATCCTCAGCAGCTAATTCACCAAAAGCTTTGCATCGGATGATCAAATATTGGCGTAATAGTTCCGGAAAAATCCCAGGTCTACGAAAGAGTGAAAGTTTCGCCGAGTATCGACGACATTCATCGAACTCGATGACAATTGGTTCGGGAGGCAGATTGAGCACTTCGAGTGCCAGGCAATTGCAATATCAACGCCTTGAGATGGAAAGCTGCGAAAATATTGATTTGCTGACAGCAACTACAAGGTGAGTAGAAATTTAAACGTTGTATATCTCAAGATCTATGAGAGGATTCATTGTGCATTTTGGGATAGGGTTTAATTATTATCTGAAATATGTATATACAAATTTTGGAATTTCTGGAACTCTTTATTTTGAAAATATTCAATGAGTAATACCTCTTATCTTACACTAAAATTCTCAACGAGAATCACAGTGAATATTTAGTTCTCTTAGCAAATGAATAATGATAACGATAGATTAACTTAATTTACTAATTAGTTTACTAAACCTAAAAATATAAAAACCAGAAAAAAACCCCCAAAAGGTTAAAACAATTATTGCATTGCTTTTAAAATTTCTTATCCATTAAGAAAAATTAAATTTCCATGGTAATCTTGGGGATTCGGGAGGTGCCAACCTCTAGTTTAATATGTAAATATATGCACACATTTCACATATTAAATATTTACATATTTACCTTGCGTCCCTACACACACACACACACACACACACAATCCAATCCATTGTCTAGCGGTATCTTTTGAAGCGCAACCCCAAATATGTGGGGCATGCAACAGTTGGCTATCTGTCTATGTGTGTTTTTTTTTTGTTTCTGTTTACCAAAAAACGCCCCCCGCGCAGCTGCGTCGCTTATCGTGCGGTTGCTGCTGTTGCTGCTCGCTTATCAGCTGCGCAGCGTTATCACACAGCAACAAAAACATCTACACAGCTACCACAAACATGTGTGGATGTTAATGAGAGGCGAACAAGTGCAATACGCCGCCGCAAAAGCCGAAGTCTGGTTGTGGGAACTTGTGGACTCCAATTTGGTGTGAGAGAGGTGTGGATGGCGAGAATGAGTGCTTATGCTGGGGATCCTAACTCGAAGCTCTCACTCGTCTAGTGCTCTCTCTCTCCCTCTCTCTTGTTGTGAGTTAACAGTCGGCGTTCCAGGGTCCACATATGCCATCCACAGCGCGTGGTGGAGCTTGGAATATGTTTAACACTGAAAAACAAAAGTGATAGGAAGCTATATGTATGTAGTTTGGGGGAAATTTTGTAATGATCCTAGTATCCGCTTTAATGCGTCAGTTTTATGACCTATAATCTAAAAATTACTCATACGCCTCATGTGCTAGAAGCATTTACAAAAATTACGTATACGCCTCGTATGTCATACTAATTTGTATTAGTAGGATTAACAAAAATTACTCATACGCCTCGTATGTCAAATGGAGTTTTCTGTGATTTACATACACATAAATAATTAATGTTAAATTACGTAAAATTTTTAATCTGCTATAATTAACAAAAACTCAGTACTCATATGCTTAAAAATTAAATTTTTTAGTATTTGCAATATACTAATAGAATTTGCGAAGTATATTTAAAACCCCCTTTTCGCTCAGTGAACGAAAGCAACTGTTTATGTTTTTATTCCAATGGCAGAGAGAGAACCACATTGTGGGAGCATAACTGTTTCGACTCTCTCAGGCGCCAAAAAAAAAAATGTAAATAAAACATATGGAATTTTCGACTCGTGCCTCTGTTTACTTGTGTGAATTTGTGCCTCATGCCGGCTGTATTTCGGTTTGTTTTCGTTATCTCTCCCTCTCTGTGGGAATTAAATCCGTTGCCTTCTGCATACTTTTGGGGTACACTGTGCAAATATTCAACTTGCAACTGCAACGCCGGCTCTTTTGAATTGCATTGTTTTATTTTAATTGTTTACTTTAGCTTATGCGGGCCGCATCGCTCTCGCTCTTTCCATTTTCTCCCCTGCTCCCTCTTCGGCGGCACTCCCCGCCCTCTTCAACTGTTTGCTTAAACTGCGCGCATTTGGAATGTAAATAAATGTAAATAAACAAGAATTTCGCCCCCATGAAAGCAACAAAAGTAAGCAAAAGCAAAACAACAGCAAAGTGCAGTCCTCCCACTCTCTCTTCGTGTCGCATTTTCTGTCTCTCTCTGATATTCTCCAGCAAAATGCATTCACAGTGGCGGTCAAATTGGAAGCACTAAAGTTCAAAGAATATTAGGAATTATATTTTATTTTATATTTCATATAAGTAGCATTTACATTTACAAAAAATGTAACGCAATGAATTTTATCCTACGGATAATCTCATTAAAGTCCGCAAAGTCAGGCATATTATAATATCAGACTAATTAAAGCTAATATAAACGTGCAATCTTAACTAAATTTATTAAATCAATTTTATTAAAAGACGTAGTTAAGAGCTTCTCTTAACTTCAATACGACACTATTATTTTGACCGCTCTTGTGCCCACGCCTCTTTCAATGCGTGCGACAGAGATGCGGCGAGAGCTGGAGCTACAAGAGAGCAGCGCTTCTCTGTGGATCGCATTTCGTGTGGACTGCGAAATCTGAGTCTGTTTTGGGGAAAGACTCGCAGCTTTTTCTGTTTCGGCTTCAGAGTCGTTTTGAAATCCGACTCGTGTGGGCGTGCAAGCCAACGAGTGCCCGAGTGTGCGTGTGAGTGTTCGTGAGTGTGTGTGCGTCGTCACGCGTCTGCGTCGGAAAAACTCTGAAAATCGGAAATCGGAACCAGGAATCGTGAAATATATTTCGGTTTTCCGGTGCTGCTTCTTCTTCCATGCCGAGCAAGTCTAAAAGTAACGGTAAAACGCACGGCAGTTGCCAATTGGCAGCAACAGTTGCAAGCAAGAAGAGCACCAAAGAAAAAGAAGCGGAAATCGAAAGAATAAAGGAAAACAAATCAAAACAAAATCAAATTAAAACCAAATATTTGAAGAGGAATATAAAATAAAAGAATGTGAGCATGTGGAACGAGTTTTGAGGTAATTTTCAAATTATAATAAGTGAATTAAAAGTGCATTGTTATCAAAAATCAAAACAGAAAGTATTTGAAATGTTTATTCATAAGATTTTGCTAATTGAATTGCTAAAAATAAAAAGTAACAAATATAGTTGTGAGAAAATTGTAAGAAAAGTATGAAAAAATTTAAAAACTTATTTGAGACCGTGAAAAAATAACAACAATGAAATCACAAACAATTAAAACCCAGCCATACAATAATTGTTGAACAAATTTTGTGAGCTAGTGTGCGTGTTGAGGTAATTTCTTTAAACAGCAACAAAACAAATCAAAATCGCATTTGTTGGCCTTATCAAGAAATAAATTAGAAGCGAAAGTGGCGGAGGTGTCAAATGAGCAAAAGAAAGAAACGAAAGAAATAATAAATAAAGAAAACAAAAAGTATAGCAGCCCAAAAAAAACGAAACGCATAAATAAACGCACGTACCTAAAAGTGAAACTTTTTTTAAACAAATATAGTTGATGGAAATTGAAATTTAACGAGCAAAGAATTCAAAAATGAGCAGGCGAAGAAAGTGTTGAAAATAAGTGAAAACCAAAAGTGTGTATGAATGCAATTTTTCTCTTTGTGCAATTAAAAAACAAACGCAATTCAATTACGCAAAAAAGTGGGGGAAAAAATTAAATTAAGTGAATGAGACATAATCCACCGCAAACAAATGTCAAAGCACTAAAAAGGAACAACAAATGAGAAATATTTATAAAAAGAAATAACCAAAATAACCACAAAAAGTGCCGTTTTGTGTCTCTCTCTTTCTCCATCTCGCTTTTTGCCGGTTCCTGAGTTTTTTTTTGAGCGTTTTTATTGTTTGTTTTTGGAGTTCGATTAAAATGCGTCACGCATGATTATTACGTGTATTTTTTTTTGTTCCTATTGTTTCTGGTTGGATATAGCCATTTTATCTCCCCGCGATCCGGCTTACATATTTTGTGTGTCTTTTTGTCTCTTTTTATTTATTTTTTTGTGATTTATGTGCAAGTTATGTGAGGTGATTGAAGTTATAAAGTTGCCTCAACAAGTGGAAATGTTTGTTTTTTATATCCGTTTATTTTGGAACTTTTTTTTATTGGGTTCAAAAACACTTGAAAATTATGAACCGTAATCAGGTTAATTTTGTCATGGGATATAAAAGGAACTCGGAATTTGATGTAAATATTTTGGAACGTGGCTAGATCGCTTTGGCAATTGATGCTGATCAAGAAAATATACCATTTATAGGGTTAGCTATTTAGGTTTTATGGGGTTAAAGTTGTTTAAAATGCTCTAAAACTTTCTCATTTATAAAGTTTTCTTGATCATAGCAAATAATATTTTTTACATGGTTAGCTTTTAATAATTTAGTATCTTAGCCGAAGTTTTCTGTTAAAAATCTAAGAATTGGTCTTATTAAAGAACAAAAACTCGTAAACCTTAAGAAAGGAGATCTGATTCATCAGATTTGTCAAGCAAAAAACCTTTACGGTTCTTTTGAATTTTTTTCTTCTCGTTTTCGTGTTGGTAAAATGCAAATTAAAGTTTACGCATTTTTTGCCTGCAATTTGTTGTCTCTCCCTCCCCCCCGTTTTCGCTGGTCCCGTTAAACGACAATGTTGCTTCTGCTCTTCGCTTCTTCCAGTGCCTGTTATCAAGCTAGTTGTTGTTGTTAGTGTTTTGTTGCTAATATGCATTGCTAGCGGGTAAAAGCAAAAACAAACGAAAAAAAAAACGACAAAAATCTGCAGAGCACGTGAATTTCTTTTTGAAACGGGTTTGGCCTGAAATGATTTCAGTCAGTTTTGTTCACTGTGTGTTGTTGCCGTGTTTTCTGCTGTTGACTTTTCATTTTCGTTAAATTTTTTCTCGATTTTTGTCTCGCTGCAACTTGCAAAAATATTTATTGGCAAGTGTGTGTGTGCGCGTGTATGTGGCTGCTGTTTCGGTTGTTGTTTTCACTGCTGTGCCAGCTGCAGTTTCTGGAATTCCTGTTGCTCTTTCCATAAGCAAAAAAAAGATCTGGGTAATATGAGATAGTTGGGGAGCATTTGTTATAACATTTTTAAATGGAATAATAAAGCTCCTTAGAAGTCTACATAGGTGAGCAGTAACATTTTATTATTATTTATTTATTATATGTATTTTACCCTTATATTAGCGTATTATAGGGTAATATAATTCTATAATTT